AGAACGAGTAAATTCCTATTCAAACTAAGTCATTTGAATATTATAATTAATACCCTAGGGAATTGTAATTATGCAAATGAGTGTATATAGGGTCAGGGAGTGGCTACTCCAATCACTTCATTCAAAGGGCACAAGCAGTAGGATGGCTACCCACCCACGGGCACGGGTGGTGTAGTGGTTAAGCTACTGGCCTCTCACCGCTGTGGTCCGGGTTCGATTCCCGGACACGGACCATATGTGAGTTTGAGTTTGTTTGATGTGTTGTTCTCTCCCTTGCCACGAGGGTTTTTCTCCGGGTCCTCCGGTTTTCCTCCCTCAGCAAAAATCAACATGTGAGGAGTGTTGTGTGCTAAAATACTTAATGTAGAGGTAGTGAGTGTGAGAGTACAGGGTCCGCAGTAATTGGCTCACGCTGTTGCGGTGTCCCTGCCCATACTAGGGGCAAAGCTAATAAAATTAAAAAAAAATATTAAAACCTCCCGCGGCAAGCGTACGATTACAAGTAAAACAAATCCACCTTTGGGGCTTAACTGGACGGTTCCAGGCCAGGTGGATATCCCCATATCTCATTAGTAACAATGGATAGGGTAGAATATTATACTATGAAACACTACCTCCGAGTTCCGCGGTGCCGCAGTGCTCGCTATGACTGCTGGGTATTTTTCCCTTATAGACTCTTAAAGAATGAATAAATTAGCAGGACGTGTTTTATGGCTGCTGTGGAGGCGAGAAGACATAATTAGAACTTATTCAGACGTGGATCGAGCCTGGAACAATAATCATCAGTGATTGCTGGAAAGCTTATAATAATCTTGATAAGCATGGATACATTCACAAGGCCGTAAACCACTCTAAGGAGTTTGTGAATAGCGAAGGATATCACACAAACAAGATTGAAGGCCACTGGAGACAGGCRAAAAGCAATCTACCTAAGTTTGGAGTGAAAAAATGTCATTTCTAACTCGAAGATTGCGCAGCAATTAGAGCAATCGAAGAGTTATTGTAGGGGGACAAATCTGTCACTCACTAAGTCATTCACTCAGTCACTCACTTTCCTGTGAACTTGAGCCTGCGTTACTTGTGTTCAGAATTATTGATCTATTCTTATTGTTTTATAGTAATTYATTCACTAATTTTCCGTTACCGGTTTYCCTGTGCTATATTTCATTCAATTAATTTATTTTTTTTGACAAATAAAGAAATGAAAGAAATATGGGCTCATTTGGGTCTCAAACCTAGGCCCTTTGGTTCGGAAATAAAAGGCACTACAACTCAGCAATGCGCGCTAATGATGAACAATGCAACTGGACTTGACCATTAAGCCACGCATTTGCAATTGCTTGTCTAGAATCGAGGTTGAAATAATAAGATTTTAACGAGAAAAAAAACTATATTCATAAATCGTTTACTTAAAATTCTATTTGTTAAGTAACAGAAGTAAATGCTATGTACTTTTGTTAAGTAATTATAATTTGATTCATCGTATCATTCCGTATTCCTCTACACAATCGATCTTCCTAGAGCAATGGCCGAGCGGTTAAAACGCCGGTCTATCACCGCCGTGGTCCTGGTTCGATTCCCGGTCCGGGACTATATGTGATTTGAGTTTGTAAGCTGGTTCTCTTCCTTGCTCCGAGGGTTTTTCTCCAGGTCCGCTGGTTTTCCTCCCTCAGTCAAAAACTAGCTGTGAGGAGTGTCGTGTAGTAAAATAATGAATGTTGACGAGGTAGTGAGTGTGAGTGAATATATAGAGGGCCACAAGTTTATTAGTCTAGAGACTATTACGTGCTACCCTCTCAAAATAAAAGACTTTATTTATTATTTATTTATTATCTTCGAGTTGTGTTGCCATTGGCGGCTTGATTCGTCTTATCTAGCTGAGYTGTGGAGGTACAAAAACAAGGCAATTGACAAGGGACAGGATCTTTTGAAGGATGTTAATTTTGTATATACGGATGAAATGATGTAGAGTTTGTGTTCAATAAATAATCCTTATGACAATTAAGTGATGTTTATCTGATTGTTAAATATAAATACATTTGAAGGAATATTGGCATGTTATATCTGTATATAGATATTCAAAGGTGGATCCAATAAGTGAAATTCTGTATATCAAAACAATGTAACCATAGTCCCTTTTCGCTCGTGCAATCTTCCTCCCTTTCACCGTTCTCCACGACAACGTTTTTTGAAATAGCTGTATGTTTCGGCCAGAAGTCATTACATGTAAACGGGACTCCCGTTTACATGTAATGACTTCTGGCCGAAACACATACATATACAACATGCCAATATTCCTTCAAATTTATTTCATGCGTGTAAGTGGATTTTATGATTGAAGAGTATTTATGAATCAGGTTACTTAGAGAAAAATATTTATATCGTTGTTAATCTTTCTTATGTTTGAACCCCATTTTAACCAGTTCTCATACCTCAAGTTAAACCTTCATATGCCTGAAGAAAGGTTTTTATTTTTAATCATGACCTTTAACACTTGTTAAACCAGTAATTGCTTTTATTAACTACAAGTAAATATTTGATTAAGTAGTGGCTCATTTGAATTTTTTATATGAATTAAATATTTATCAGTAGACTTAAATACCAGCCAGTGTTGTCATATTCCAAAAGGTTAAAAGTACAACTTACAACCATTATAACATTATAACCAATATAACAAATTTTAAAAAACCTGTGTCAGATTATCCCTTTCTCTTTAAACATTTCATTGATTCTATATTCTAGATTAATACCGAAATGCACCAACTAAGAAAAGGCAAAGTTTCATTCTTGTTTGAATACTGTTACCARCCCTCCCCTCCCTYACAACCMGGCCGTAGTCAAGACCTAAGTTACTTTAACACGACAGGTATTTGGTTCATTTGTCAGATCGACCATGGCCTTGACACTAYCTTTGCTTGTCGTTTTGACTGCGCTTTGCCTTACAAACGGTGCCTCCGTTGCTAAAAAGAGAAACTTCTTAAAGATTTCAAAGAAGGCAGGTATGTTCAATAAACTATCATTCTAGGCAGTTTAATAGAACTGGAAATTGCGGGGACCAGGCATTTTGAGTCACCTCATAGACGGAGTATTTTTTATTTTGATAGTGGCTAGTTTCAGGGTTAATTGACAAGTATTTAGACTTAGATGAAATACATTTAGCAATACCCCACGAASACTGTATCACTTAATTTTCGGCGAAAATATATCCTGCCTAAAAATTGATACAACGGGCATCGTCTCAAATGAATTCATTGACACAAAATCAGCCGCAGATCAAATCAAGGTGATAAACTTTAATTTAAGGCCGAAAAAATCATCGTTTTATTAATAAGAAAGACTCTTTTTTAACTTTAAAATAGTTTCATTTAAAGTGCACATAGTTTGGTTACTACAGAATGCAAGATCTTGATAGGCATGGAATGACAATATTTATACCTATTATATACTCAATACACGAAAAATCCCGTACTCTGAGAGTACTTGAACCGCACCGTATAGCTCATATATCCTTAGGGCTTGATAGTTTTTTGCTGCAAATCAATGCACTCATTATTGCTTGCCAAATTGCATCAGAATGAATTCAAGGAAGATTCGGCTTTGAGTACAGAACACAAGGAATGTCAACAACCCACCATGAATAGACAACGCCTAAATCATGATACGAGATGATAATGTATTTACCCACTTATCAAACAGTTTTACTATGATATATTAACATAATATCTAGAAAAAAAATAATCAGGTTTTCCAAAGATAACAAAGAGCTAAAAAATGCTTGGAAGTATACAGGGTTGTATGTTTGTATGTAAACAAACCGAAGTTTTAAATAAACAATAAAGTCAATTAACTTTTAAAAGTCATAATGTCGTTTTGCTGCCAGATCAGTAACAGCTAGCTTAATAACGTCAAGTACTGAGTACTGTATGTACTTCTTTACAGTAGTATTCTTTTTTCACCTTATCAATAGYTGTCCCCGCTCAAAAGTCTGGCTACTCGTGTACGAAATCCGACTGGAAGCAGATCAACCATATCCCAGTCTGCTTTGAAGGTCAAGGTAACAAATATGGTCACATGAACCACTTAGGAGCTAAAGGACTCGTGGGAGCTATCAAACTTGTGCATCGTAATGGACACATCAGGTACGACTTTGGGCTACCACAGTTTAACTACAAATRCCGTTGCTAGTTTGTAAACAATTCATAAAACGCTCGGACGTATGCTTGCAATGAAATTCAAGATCCTAGCGTTTGAACATGCAGGAGGAGCCTACGGGTTCCCTGGGAGAAGTATTTCTGTTCTTATGTGCGAGCCAGCTGTGGCAGCCAGGCAAGGAATATTTTCTAATAATTTTTGCCAGGAAAATAAAAAATTTCTAACTAAAAAATATAAGCCGTTTTTGATCATAAAAACGTTATATAAGCCTTTTTTTACCTTAAAAACTTTTGCCAGGAACAAAATAYTTTAAAGAGGGAGGGCGCCACATTTGCTTGTGAGATTGTCAACAATGTAGCTCAAAATCCCTTTCCCAGGAAAAAATTCGTTCACGAACAGTTATTTAGAAGAACACTGCCCCGTCGGCTCCTCCTGATTTAACAAGCTCTTGATTGATTCTCAGATGTACTACCAATCCAGCGTACGACAGCCGTTGGGGATGTTAYCACTATTCAACCTTCATGAAATACCCTCTAAACATCATCATAACTGACAAACACAACAATATCATTTTCCCAAAACAACGTTACATTAAACACACCTCTGGTCTTTGGTACTATATGCCCATGGTAGACGACAAACACAGCGACGAATTGGTTTTCAGTGACTTTAACGAGCCATTCTACCTTGGTCAGTATGATGAGATGAGGTTATGGTACGGAGAGGACCTCAAGAACTGGTCTGAGACTGACAACCAAGGGCGCGTTTGTGTGGATGTTTTTGCAAGATTCGTATAAAACCAAATAAAAAATGATAATAATATATTCGTTTGTTTATTTTCCTCGTTCAGCTACAAGTGACCAAAATCAGTGATATAAGTAGGCATGCGCACAATGAAATCCTGAACCGCATGGTCCCTGACTACAATAATGGCTGACAAGTGCAATTTTTGTTCATTTTGGGACGATACATTTCCCAGACTTGGAGAGAGATTACTTTAAGAGCGATATATWACGAGTGAACATTACGAGAAAACCCTTAAGAATGAAAATTCTATCACGAGAAAAATTTTCACAATTTTGCTCTTCGTATTATTGTACCAATAGATTCGTCCAGTTAGTTGCTAAAGCTWTAAAATCAAAGGRMTGTGGTTCAAGCTACAGTTATCTWTTTTTCAGCATCATTCGCAACTCAAGGGATCATGGGAAAAATATATCTAACTTATAAAAAATCAAAAATAAATGAATGAATACATCAGTGATTTTCCAGCTACTTCGACTGCAATATTTGTGTGTGTGAGAATTATCAAAACGATATAGTTAGTAGTTGACTCATAGCAGACCTTTTATTTTGATTATTTTATTTTTATCTCCACTGAAGTTTTTACACACTAATGACTCTTTCATTAGTCAAGTGTACTAATGAGTTCCATCCATTACAAACTATCTATGTTTTTTTCCAGATTTAATGTAAGCTCACGTACTTCAAGGAAAAGACCAGAGACACGTTTTTTTATTCAATAAAGTATCAATGTTTTTCTCTAATAGACTTCTGAACCTTTTACGCCATTACTTGATTTTCAATGCATTGTGGGATCAGTTTCAAGAGAAAACAAAAGAAATCCGCCATGTTCTGTCCCAAACATATCCTACAATGCATTGCGTATACGGTACATGACGTAAAAGCTTCAGAGGTCTACTAAATGTACACATTCTTTCTCTGTGCAAAGTTAATCGCTATTTCACGGGTTAAGTGTAACGAAGCTAGTGGGATTTAATTTCTTAGAATCAATACTATTAAACCAATGATAAACCAGAGACTGAGGCTCATGCAACACGAAACGGTTATAAAGACACACAGCACAGCATCTAATTTACTCTTTTATTTCGACTGCACGTTGTCCTTTGCTACTTGCTTTACACTGCTGACGGTAAAACTGCTCAGCAAATCCACAAACTACGATCATTGCAGTCAATGCAGACAGGATGATGAAGATTTTCTTGAATAAAGGTGACTTCAGAGAGAAAAAGCTCACCATTTCCTTGTATTGTAGTTTCTAGGGTCAACAAAATCGTATAAGACTATAGGGCTTAGTACTAATTGTCCATTGCAATTACCTTTCGAAATCAATTAAGCATCTAAGACTTCATAAAGTGAAAAAGACGCCCATTTTTAAGGAGCGTTTATAAAATTGAGTTAAAATGCAATTGAAGTGACGTCAGCTAAGGAATCTTTTCATATGATAATAATAATTTGTCAATGAAACACCAAAAGGACCACAAAAACATTTTATTCGCCGGCCCCAACACTTTCACAAATGTACTAACTATTTACGTTATCTAGTGGACAATCACTTCACATACATACGTACGTTATTTTCACTTCGGTCCAAGTAATCGTCAACCAATTGTGCAACGTCCTTTTCCCTGTACCTAAATATGTTCTTGAGGCAGTTGTTAACATTCCGAGAGAAAGGACTTTGTAAATGTCCGTTGGTGAATTTCCAAAATGCAAATCCATATGAGTGAAGACTTTTATAGACATCTTGGATTTGAAGATGAGCAAAGGACGGACTGTGAAGATTGTAGACKCCTAAACTCATTTCAACCATGATACCATCAACCTCCTCTTTTGCAAGCGCATCGTCCATTGCTTTTAGATCTTCATAGACTATACAATTAATGAATATACAAATGAAAAGGGGTTTTTAGTTTATCATTAGTTAAGATCAAGTCAAAAAAGATGGTGCTTTTCTCTGTTTGCCTTTAATTAGCTTATTCTTTGTCTCATTCTTATGTCGCGCTATGCTGAGGTCTAATGCCACACACTTAATTGACTGCATTTCTTTGTCTTTTTTTGTCTTTGTCTTTTTTTGTTTTCAGCTTATACCTATGTTTATGTCCTAGTGAAAACAAGACTCAAACATACAAAAACTGAGCTCAATTTCGATGGTCGGTTTTCGCTTTACTGACAGGCACATTTACAAAACTAACCCCTAGTTGCAAATGCTATGTTCAAAATTTTTATATTACACTTTTTCGTTTTTTCAGGTTGTTTTTATGTCGAAATAAAATGATCGCAAATTCTGGAAGTAATTTTTGACTGTCAAATAACCTATGACTGTCAAATTGGTTTTGCTTTAATAATTTTAGTATACAATGATTTATATACCTTTTGGAATGGCAAAATTCTTCACAGCTTCGGATATGGAGTTACTCCCAGCCAATACAGCAATCTATAGTACATGATACAATTACTTACTGCGGCATGTTCGTACAAGGGCCCAAGCTGCACCTTGCGTTTGGTTTCGATCTTAATTGGTTTTTACCTTTTTGTCCATTATTGCAACATCCTTTTTGACATTCATGGAAGTTAGCGCTGTTGTTATGGTAGCTGTCATGATTGAGCACAACGAGATACCAAAAACTATCCAAATAATGCCAAATAGACGTCCAAACATTGACTTGGGTGTGCGGTCTCCATAACTAAAAATATATGGAGTTATACACACGATAACTAGGTTTTTTTTAATTAACCTGTTTTTTTTCTTCTGGTAACTAGCCCGCAACTACCCTAGTTCCCGCAAATCGATGTAAGGTAGATTAGGTGTCAATGTAAGGTCGATTTGGAGATTGATGTCACGACTTGCCGATATGGAACCTCCCCTACTACCTGGTATTGTCTTCGCCTCCTCGTGGGCTTCAGCACACCCAAAGGTATAACTTGAACCCTGTTTTAAAAACTACCTTCCCACTGAATAGTCCTTGGGTTCGTAAGGATGAATAATGGTAAAAACGACTATCAATACTTTTAATGGTTGACCTGTCCTTAGCGGATTCATATTCAGTGTGACTCGAATTTGTYGAAGCAAGAATCTTCATTCGTTTCAAATGCATAGTAGTTAATAAGTAGTGTTACATACCCCACTGTTGTCATGGTAACAAAAGCCCACCAAAATCCCTCGCTTGCACCTTTACCAAAGGAATTGGGGAAGTCATCTGGGTTTCTCAAAGTATCCTGTTAACATAAGAAATATAGTAAATGCAGACTTCATTATTTTGAAATAATAATATAAAAAAATAATTAATACGAACTTGCAGAGGCCGAGAACAAACCAGTAGGCGGTGGTGTGATTAATTGATCATCGTAGCTAAGTTAGAGTGCTTTGTAGTTTTTTAATATTCATGCTTGACAATCTCGGTGAACACCAGTGAGAAAAATTTTCAGTAATTTTTAAAAATCAATTAAAGTGGGATTTTGAATTGCATGGGATAAAAAAGACATTTTACAATCGAAGATCTTTCTGCATCACTCGAAGAATTATTCCCGAATAGCTACCTGGATTTATGGTTTGAGATCGACTCTCTCAAAACGGAGCAAAGCAACTCAAAGACTCGATATGAGATTTAGCACTATCGAATTAATAGAAAAAAATCCAATATCGATTTGCCACATCAGTATAGTGATGAATATGCAAAGTTTCAGAGAAACAGAACTATAAATTGGCGAAGATATCAGTATTATACAATTATTGAAATGGATTTTATGATATCAGAYATCAGCAATGCAATTGTGAAGCTGCAATTGGCTTATTGTATATCGAATTAAATGTTATTGACTAGCCAATTGCCTTTACGTTAATCTTTAGAATGTCCGATTGTGAAATTAAATGTAGGCTGTTAACCAATCATATTTTAGATAGTTAATACAAAGTTTAATAATCTCGATAATAGAAGTGAAGGGTGTTGAGCCTTAAGAATAAACATTCTTATTGCTAATGTATAGAACATTTTCTTGATGTGTGCTGTTCTTTTATAATCTAAAAGGGATTTTTATAGAGATCCCGCTAAAAGTTTTTTTTATTTTAACCCTTTTTTAATATGACTGTGCTCTTTTTAAGAGCTTACAATGTTCCAAAAAGGGTGTTGAACAAAGAACTGAAGGCCACATAAAGGCAAAGGACTAGAAGGGTTAGGACTAGAAGGGTTAGGACTAGAAAGGTTAGGACTAGCAACAAATTAAAAAGCTGCAGAGAGAAATTAAGAAAATTAATGAAGCAGAAAAAGACGTCGTCTATTTTCTATAATTTCCAATATTTCTAAATAATTTCAATATAGGACAGAATTTTCCTCATATTTCTTTTTTTGTCATTTTTTAGTTTTTTTTTTTCCATTTTGTTATTTTTTTGCAATTCCGTATAATTGCAAGGTGAACCGGTCGGTGAACGTAGTTTTCTTTATTGCTCGGTGGCTAATCAGCATATTATCACAATAAAATTCGCTACTGACAGGAATTCCAATTATAAGTTGAAACACCATGGGGTGATCTGCGGATTGGAAAATTATTAATTGAAAACAGGCTGATRATTCTCCTGGATAGATTGATTCAATTTCACACCACAGGGATTCCAAAATAACAGATCGATGGTCAATATTGCTAACCAAACAGGTGGAAATATCAGTAACAAATATGAAAAATGTGCACCTCCCCAGTGATTTCCGTTAGACCCTTGAAGTATCAAATTAAAACAAAAAACAAACAAAAAAACAACTACTATACTRACGAAGTTGGCTTGTTTGAAGTTTTAACCGAATTTTCCGAAAAAAGCAAAACTTTTCTCTCTACACTGAAATGGCTTCTTGTTTTTGGTCAAAGATTAATATCTATTGCTGTCAGTATACCTTTTTTCAAGCTTCAGGTTAATATCAAATATTTTTTTTWAAGAGACTCACCAAAGCCCAAACACATACACCTGCAATTGCCGATAGTAAAATTGAAAGTGAAATGGCCAACCAAACACTTTCAATTGACTGCCAGACTTTAAACTGCTCATTCCTTTCAACGCTTTCCCTGCGAAGGAGAAGGATTTCCCCAGGGGACTGGAGAACCGACACGACATCAACAACATCTAAATATTTTTGATTATCTTTGACATCTGTGACAACAGGAAGAATCATATAGCTTTCGGAGTTTTTGTAGCTTAAAACTTTGCTGTGCAGTGCATCAAGACTTTTTGTGGGCAATCGGTCGAAAATGATGTTTGGTGGAGAACTACCCTCCCTTCTGCAACAGACGGATAGTGACGAACGAACAGCATCCACAAAAACCCCAATTGGATGAGTCTTGTTACCGGCAAGTGCATCGTCAGTGAAAACAAAAGGAGGGCGATTCAACCAAAACACGTCAAGAGTTCTAGGACATACTGTAACGATACCACGCAAACGATATGGCGATGGCTTATGAATAATTTGACTGCAGTTTCCATCGTCTTTCCTCAAGTCGACCGTAATAAAGTTACAAGGTGCCAGGCCTTCACTTTTTGGTGTTAAAGATGCCAGGCCAAAAGCAATCAACAAAAACAATTTTTTCATTTTCCTTTATAAGAAGCAACAGCGTTGTGGCTTTCTGTACTTCATATCACGTACAGCTAAATATATTGCAGTCAATCGTGAGCAAAGGCTGACTTTTAATTGCAATTATTGCTGCATGGGGTTTGACGTCATTGTCAACAAAATTAGGCTTCAGGCTGTTTCTTTAATTCTAAAGTCTTTAAAAAGTCATTCTTGCCAGGATAATCATTTCATCAGTGAAGATAAAGGGGCGATTCAACAAAAACACGTCAAGAGTTCCAGCCAATAGGGAGCAGCGAAAACACGTGGTCTGCCAGCCTTATTCGACCACGGACATGGCCATCATCATTGCTAACTTGCTTAGATGTCGATGAAATTAAAATTAACTCCCCGGTATCTAACATTTTGAAACTCGTTTCCGGGAGTYGGGAATCTAGACACTTCGTTTTTAATTAGTCTGAATGTGATGATTGTCAATAAATTCGTTAGACTGACGACAAGAAATATCATCTACAGAAATAATTGGGGTTGGGGTTGTCTTTGGTCAGAATTGTCAATGTTATACTACTGAATGCAGGACCGAAAGCATTTTGGTGAGTTGTCAAGTACTAATGATATAAATACATCCCCCTTTTTGTTTAGGGAGGTGGATGGGTCGATAATCTTTAGCTGTGCGTGTACATTATATACACGTTACTAGGAAAACGTTGTCGGGTTTAAGATAAAGTCCGTGGACTGCCGTGAACTTCTCTTTAGTACGAACTATCTGATATTGGAAAAGATCAAATAATGTTATTATCGATTATTTTCATGACTGTGAGTAATGGATGTCATGTTCTGTACGTCATGACATTCGAGGAGAACTCTCCTTCTTATTCGACCTACAATACATTCCTTGTTTAGGGAAGGTCCAGGGGAACACAAAAAGTCGGCATACTCTCAAATGACTTTCTAAAAGTATCTTTTCAAAGTTCAGTATCCTTCGCAGTATCCTTTCTGTTTTCAAATATTTGAAATGGAGTATTTCACTGAAAAAAGTATAGTATTTTCGTTTATTTTTTAAATTAATTAAAGAAATTATGAAGAATGAATGTACAAATTTTCAAACTCATATAAAATATAATCTATTTTTAATATACACCGATTTCAGAAAAAATGTCCAATAAAACAGAATGATTATAGCTTCAAGTTGGTGTTGTGTTTCATTCTACCTATATATCATATATGTTAAAGATACCTAAGATCGCTGTGAAATTACTATATCTAAAAGATTATTTTTTTCATGAAATTGGTGTATGTATAAAGATATACAAAAAAAGGTTACAGATATAAAATTTTGTACTGCTTTGAAAAATTCCAAATTTTACGCCATTTGCCGAACAAATTCCAAACTTTCATAAATCGTGAGATTTGGCTTCAAACACTGCTCAAAAGAGAAAAATAACTAGCAGACTCAATCATAGAATAGGAAATACAGTCACCAATAAACCCTTTCAATCGAAAAAGACAGCTGTATTTTAAATGTGTATGCGCTAAATCACAGTTTTCTCAGATGCACTAMCGAACAGCATCATGGGATGAAAAAACAACGGCGTTCTTCCTGTTGRTAGATATGCAGTGAAAGATGGCTCTTTGAATATAATAAATGTCAGGTCCCAGAAGTAAATGCAATCAGTCGGTTGCTTAAAATGTT